CTGGCAGAAATGAGCACTGACCTTTGGAAAGCATATAACCCAACTGAAGAAGCAGCGCGTTCTTCCCACATCAACCCTCTCTGATGTTGGATGGAGGGAGAGAGGGAACGTTAGTTATCTCTCCACTGGAGTACGGGTCAGATCTGCTACCCAGCATCACTTTACATTTATATAATTTAAAGGAATCTTGATTTTACATTTAACTTTACAAATGCACAAGGAACTCTTACACACTGTTGATGGGCGTGTGAATAGGTATGAGCATTCTGGAGGGCAGTATCTATCAAAGCCTTAAAAATGTCATAGAACTGACTCGGCAAAGCCTTTTTAAATAAAGAATCCTAAGAAAATAATTGAGACATTTCCAAAAGAATTCCTATGATTATCTTGCCTGGGGGAAAGGTTTAAGAGCCCCACTGAGTATGGCTAGTTTTACGTACTGACTGTGTTTTCATTTGGAATATACTGTTTTGAAGGAATGAATCAGAGAGAACTTTAACTTTGGATTGGCAGCATGACATGGTCACAGAAAGCTTTTATTAAAATTTTGGATCCTTAAGCCGACTGTGGCCAATACAGCTTGTGGGCACTCAAGTGCCACCCGATTACTGAGGCTAGAAAGGGAATACCACCAAAATAATAATTATAATAACAGTAATGATAATAATAATAGTAAATTAAAAATAATAAAATAAATTTTAAAAAAGGAAGGGAATACCGCATTTCCCCAAATCTCTTGTGCCAGGGTCTGGATGTGAATTAGGTTCCACCAATTGAGATCTGAAAGGTGGAAGGCAGGCCATCTTCCTACCACTTTAGCTGTTTTCTGCTGCTAAAGCTGTGGAGTCTGATTCTTCTCTTTCCCTCACACCCCACCTCAACTCTATCAGCAGACCACGCTGGCTCTACCTTTGAAATAACTACTCAGAATCCATGCACTTCCCAGCACCTCCACTCTTCCCACCCCGGTCCACAGCATAGCCATCTGTTGCCGGGATGACTAGAGCAGCCTTTAACCTGGTATCTCTGCTTCTCTCTTTGCTTCGACCTGGCAGCTCAAGTGAGCCTTTTAAAACCCAGATAACACGTGTGACAGTGAACCATTTCACTTAGAAGACAGCCCAACTCCTCTCCGTGGCCTAAAGCCCTGGCTGACCTGGACCACCCAGCCCACATCTCCCCTCCTCTCCCCTTCTCCTTCCTGCTTTTAGCTCCAGCCAGTCTCCTTTGCTGCTCCTGATTCTGACCATCCTCACCCCCTATGGATCCTGCCAGCTCACTTCTTCCAACTCTGACATGCAGAGCTACCACTCGTAGACTCCCCCTACCCTTTAAAAATAATTCCCAAGCGCTTGTCACCTTCTAAATACCACAAAACTTACTTAGTTATGCTTATTGTCTGTCCCCCTCACTAAAATGAAAGTTCTGTCAGGACAGACGTCTTCTGCTTTTGTCACTGATCTATCTATCCTATGCTGCAATGTGCCTAGCACCCAGGAGGCACTCTGTCTGTGGGCTTTTGTCTTCAGGTGTCCCAGGGTCCAGTCTGTAGCTCTGTGGTTCTCCAGAGGCAGTGGAGACTGTGGGGCTTTCGTGATCACTGGACTGCAGCTATGCAGTGTTCTGTAACTCAACGGCTCCGGAGCCGGATTCTCCACCCTCCCGACTATGGGAGAGGTCGTTGCACCCCTGGTGGGAGTTCTCGGGTGTTCTGATTCATGGAGGCTCAACCTATTACTTACTCCTCCAGCTTTCCAAAGAGTCTGTAAACACTTATTTTCCTGTATTAAACTCCTCTGCTTGAATAACTGGAATGGCTTTTATTTTTCCACGGAACACTGAAGAATACACGAGTTAGTTGTCGGACCAATGATGATCAAGACTGCATTTTTTCCTGACTGACTGGGTTTTAGATGTAAATGAGCCAACTAGAAGAAAGCCCAGCCCCTACCTCAGTCCTCGGGGAGCTGGATCAGTGACCACTCCAATACAAGGGAACAGAAGAAATGTTTCAGAAGACCTGAGTCAGAAGTTGGCCACAGAGGGAGGGAGTTACTAGAGTTGGCATTCTTTCTCCATTTTTTTCAGAGGATACCCCTGAGACCCAACCACACTCCAGTCCCTACCCTCTATTGGTAGAACTTTGGCAGCTGAACCATATCCAAGAGGAGCTGTAAATACCACATCTGTCACTAGCTACAGCCATCTGAAGAGGGGAAATGCCCTAGCTGTGAATGTCCTGCACTAGTCTGTGGGTGGGAGCACAGGGCGAACAGGCAGTGGACATCATTTTTCACATCATACCTAAGAAATAAGCCTCTTTTCCTTTAAAGAGCCAAGTGTTAAGTGGTCAATTTAATTGGACCATGGGGGTAGGTCTAGGATTAAAAGACCCGTCTTTAATTAGTTCAGCTAGCTCAGACATATCTGAAGTACAAGATACTCATCAACAAAGAACTGTATGTGTTTTTAAGATAAAGCACATGATGAGACAACATAATATTTATGTCATCATACACAATATATACAATTTTAGAGTCTGAAAAAGAATATGTACTAAAATGTTAAAACTGGTGTATTTAGAAGAAAAGGAAATTGAACATTTAAAAAATTCTACCTAGATATACCTAGACTCTCTTGTCATTCCTGCTTCTTCCCTACTAACAAAACTCTGTCTCAAGCAGCAACAGGCTGCCAAAGGCCCGGGGACAAACTGCTCCATCCATCTCTTTGGCAGCACCACGTCCAAGGGTGGGTATGTGACCCAGCTCTGTCAAAGAGACATAGGGGGCAAGTGTCTTTGGGCTTCTGAAGGATATTCCGAAGAGCACAACGGGGAGAAAGTTCCTTTACCACTGTCTACTTTGCTTCCTGCTGTGGCTTCGGACACTCATTTGAAGAAATGATGCTGGGCTGTAGCAGACAGAGGCCAGCAGAACAACCGGCTCTAAGGAAATCTTGATGACGTTTTGGCTGCCACCCAACTCTGGAGCCCTTTATCTCTAGACTTCTCATTACAGGAGATAACTAAACATCCTTACTGCTTATGCCACGGTCAGCCCAGCTTCCTGTCACACTTGTGCGGCTGCTCACTCCCTGCAGAAGCACTTTTCTGTCCGCCACCAAGTGAATGCTTTATGTTCACGCTAATCTACAAACACCCTATTAAACAGCTACTATGACCTCATTTTTATAGAAAACCAGTAAAACCAAGCTTAGGGAGGGTAAGGAATTTTCCCCAAAGTTACTGGTGGAGGTGGAGTCAAACCCAATCCCGGCTCTAGAGCCCACACGTGTCACTCTACTCACACAGTTAAAAAAATGAACAAGTCTGTAGTTCTCTCTTTTAGAAGCATAACAAAATGCCTACACGTAGATGCAGGTAGTAATAAATTGGCACACATTTGCACTCACACATAATGAATTTTGACTTTAGGCTTTTTCCTCCCGTTATTTGTGTTTATTTGTTGGTAGAAATGTATGCTTCAGAGGCTCTGTCAAGAAAGCAGACTTGTTTCCTCTTTTTTCCACACTTTCACTGGTGACATCCAGTCTGTGTATCGGGGATAGAGAGACTGGTCAGGGGACTCTGATGCAGGGTCATAATAGTCAATCCCCAAGACACCTGAAATGGAGAATGTGAAAGTGGTACATGCTCTTCCTCGAGCTTTCTTAGAAGAGCTAAAGACGGCAAAATACCAAAAAGCCAACGAGGCAGAGCCTTTGAGTTAGCCCAGAAAAGCCGAAGACTGTTTCTGAACCAAAGAAACAGAAGAGAAAGGGGATTACAATAGAGGCCTAGTGGCAGTGCATCGCCTATCTAAAAGAAGCAAGCACTGGAGCCCAGAGAACAAAGCTCAGATTTCGCCCAAATAGAACTTCCATGGTTCATGTCTCCACAGAAGCCTTCTGTCTCTTACAAGAAGACACCAGAACACTACCAACGGAGCTCACGTGAGCTCTTAGCTACAGAAAGGCCAATGTTCAATCACCCCTCATTGCTGCAGGCTAGGCAGTTTGAGGGGCTCGGCATAGGAAAACCCCAGTCGTGATGAACAAAAAAAACAGACTCATGGGACAGAAAGGTGAGACTAAAGGAAGGCATATCCACCCCAAACCTCTGGGGCCACCTCAAAGTCGGGAAGAGGCACTCTTACTGAGCCTGTGTGGTCCATCGCCGGTCCAGAGGCAGCTGGCTAAGGTCACAGCAAAGGGAGCTGTGACATTGGTGTCTAACGACCAGACACTGCTGCAGGCAGCCTTCCCTAACCCTTAAGATGTCTCCCACTACAAAACCAGGGAAAAAACCCAGCCCTGTGGACAGGGGATGAGGGAAGAGAAGCTGCTCCTCCAGGAATGACACACTGGAAGGATCAAGAACATGATGATCTGGTAAAAGGAACAAGGTGACAGACCCATGAACTGAAGGCCACCCTGGCCAGCAGGGACTGCGATGCAGAGCTGGTGATGGTAGGACAGGAGGTACAGGGGAGCCTCTCAAACTCAAAGCTTTCGAAGTAGGAGGTCATCTGTCAAGTGTCAAAGAAGCCGCTACGCAATAAATCCCTAGTTGCCGTCTTACAAGGTTGCTTTTCAGCAGTATTTGAGTGTGATTATAATTCTGAGTGCTCACAGGCTTCTGTTGGGAAACATTTAAATGGAAGCCAAGAGTACTGCTAGTCATTGCAGGGCTTGGGGGTGGGGGATGAGTCCTGAGACCCCGATGTCACCCAAAGACAAGTGCAGGGTGCTGGGAGGAGTCTCTGAGTTCACCTCCGGTAGAACTTACAGCTAGCACCTCACAGCAGTGAACAGGCAGCACTTGGCTAGCAGCACTCAGGAGAAAACGGGCAGGGAAGGGCCCAAACCTGTACCTTCAGAACTTCCGGCCCAGGGGGACGGCACATGGCATCAGGAGGCAGGGAGAGAGCAGCTCCAGTCACTTCTTCCGAGAGATTCTTGGCATCTCTATTTTGTTTGAAAACAGACTCAGGCAAAGGGAAGGGGAACTAACATTTATTGAGTGCCCACCGTGTTTATCTGGCCTTGTGCAAGGAGTTTTCATCTACGACATTCCATTTCATTCTCACACCAACCTTGCGAGGTAGGTATTATCCTCATTTTTGTCCCATGAGGAATATGAGGCTCAGAAAGGTTAGGTAGTTTGTCCAAGGTCACACAACTAGTAACCGATGGAGCTGGGATTGAGCACTGAGTCCCAGACTGAAAAATTCCCTGCTCTCTCTCCAACGCTGCTTCTTGGGAAGGAGAAGGGAGCAAAAGCGGCAACCGTCCTTAGGCTTCCTACCCTGAGAACAAGACAGTCAGCAAGAGGAGGAGCCTGGACTTTCCCACAGACCCTCCCCTCTCTACCTGGGGAGGGTACAGTCACTTGAAGAGATAAGACATAAATATAAAAATAAATAGAAGGGACAAGTCCCCCAGCAGCGAGGATGTGCAGGATCCATCCCGTGGGTAGGCCACTGGGCCGTTCCCAGCTGCCGTGGGAGGCAGCCACGTGGGCCCTGTGGGGAAAACTGGGACAATGGCTGCCAAAGGCTGGAGTGGGTGGGCTAAACAGGCCCTTTCTGGGTCGCACAGATTTGAGAACAAAACGTCTGGAGCAGGCAGCAGCCGTGGGCACAGTCACCATCATCCTCCATCTGCTCATTTTACCGGTGTTTGTGATCCAAGAGGGACTCAAAATCGGGGGAACAGACAAGTTTGTGCTTTATATGTCCCAGGACGGTCATCTCACCAGTCCGACTGTCCCCAAGGCCCACGGACACCAGCTCCTGCCAATCAACAGAGACAGCGATGAGAACCAAAACCACACAGCCCACTACTCGGTCCTATGATTTTCACGTGAAAATCCCAAGAATGCTTCTCCCTTAGTTAGCACTGACTCCTCAACACTCCTTACCTCTTAAGGAGCCCCTACTGTGACCCTACAGGCTCTCACCTGCAGAAAGGAACAGGCAGTTCCCATGGTCACATCTAGGGTCACCTTGCCCAGGAGGAGTTGCACCTTTCCTGACTTGCGGATGAGCAGCTTGCCAACCTGACCCTCTGTCAGGTCAGCCAGGGTACAAGCATTCTCTGCCAGCCTGGCTTCCTGTGGAGAGAATCAGAAGATGGGAACTGGGTAAGGAGCTGCTTCCTCCATCCTGCACGAATGATACCCTTTTCCAAAGGAAGGCAACAGCAGCAGAGGTTAGAATGAGCTCCTCCAGAGGGCCTTTCCCCAGGGCTCCCTGCCATTGGCTGAACGACAAAACCCAAAGCAAACAAATGAACAAACGGACAAAATACTGATAACTGCTGCAGCTGAGTGATGGTACATATGAATTTATGTTCTCTCATTTGTGTACGTTCAAAATATTTCATTGTGAAAAGCAAACACATGTAATAGGGGTTGAAGTACAAAGCCCCACGTCCCTTGTGGGTAGAGAGAACAAATGGGTATTATTCTGACATTTCAGCTTGGGTGGCACACCTCTGCTTTCCCAACAGCTCACCGTTTCCCTTCCTGGTCCCCCCGGCATTTTCACAGAACTCATTCCTGAGCATACCCGGTCTTTCTCCTGCTTTATAACCACCATCTGTCCGTCCTCGCTCTGCACCTCTGTCTTGATAGGCTTGATGTCCTGAGTGGGCGGCTGGCCAGGGAGCGTGTCTGGCAGCTGAAGGAACAGCAGCTCTTCTTCCTGGGTGAGGCTCAGCTCCCTGAGCAGGTCTGCCACAGATACGTCCTTTGGGAGGCCCGGGGTCTTTCTGGCTGTCCTGGGAGGAGCCTTCATCTTGGCCTCCTCCTCCTCATCTCGGGGCTCCTCTTTCACTGCCCAAGGTAACACAAATGGAAGAGCTATGACGTGGCCATGTTGTCGTACGCAGCCCTTCATCCCCCTCTGCTTCACTGTCACTCAGCCACGAAGTGGAAGGGAATCACTGGTTACGAAGAAGGATCCAGGAGTTGTGTGACTTATCTAAAAAGGCTAGGCCCACGGATCCATGTCAGCACGAACCTCCTGAGAGTGAGAGTTTGGTGTCCCTGTTCGGGTCATGTATTTTACAGCTGGAATGGGAGAGGACCTGCTTCTGAATCTGGGAGGCTCATTCCTAAGGAGGATTCCTGGGGGGCAGCCACAGGGAAGGAGAGGAGACGCTAACGGACACAGAGTACCTTTCACAACAGGTACATCCACCTCCATGTCCTCTTCCTTGGGGCCAGCCAGCCAAGGTTTAACATCTGGCTCTTCATTCTCTTCCTTAAAAAGCCACCCTGAGTGAGCCAGCGGCAGCTGCACAGGCATGTTTCGAGTGTCATTCCTCAGCCCAGGGTCATCGATGAACTACCAGGGAAGAGTCAGCGGGTCACATGGTCTGGCTAGCATGCACACATACCTGGACCGCAGCCCACCTCAGCCTTTTCTAACTGAAGATTCCTGCTGTTCACAGGCCTCCAGGACATCAGAGAGCTCTTCTTCCCCCCCGAGCCTGCCTCCCCAGAAGCCCATTCCTCCCTGCCTAGTGGTACCTACATCATCCTTCTCCAGCATGCGCAGGATCTGTTTTGTTTCTTCATCTGTCTCCCTCTTCTCTTTTTTGATGTTGATGATATGAGAAGGCCCCATGTCTGACACATCCACTGTCTTATCCCAGTTCCCTGTGGGAAATCACTCAGGTTCACCAGAGGTATGGAAGAGGCCAACAGCCAAGGAAAACTAAACTGGGAGCAGGGGGATTTTACTGCCCTTGCCCTTCTCTTGGGCGGTCTGGACTGAAATCCACTGATTCCTTCCTCCCAGAACCCCAGCAGCTTTGTACCCTTTTTCTTCATCATTTCAGCTGGACCCTGCTCAAAGATGGAGTGGGACTGGATCACTTCTGGGCGGCCCCGGCCCCGTCCATGCCCGTCTCGCTGTCGGTCTCTATCCCTGTCACGCTTCTCCTTCTTGATGGTTACTTCTTCCTTGGGCCTGGAAAAGAGAATGGAGTAAGGAAAACCACTCACTCACTCTGCCTCAGAGAACCGGTCTTACTCTGCCATACCACTCTACTCCACCTGAGTGGAGAATTAATGAGACAATAACTGTATCAGAAGAAGCAGAACCCAATCTTAAGTCTAGCACCTTGTCTATTTTCTTGATGGGGCAGTGTCCCTTCAGTTTGCTTTACTTTACCTTCTTGCTTGAGAGTATATATTAGAACTCAACTCAAAAGTTGAATTACGGAGACTGCCCCAAAATGTGGACATTTTAGTGTTGGTTGAAAGCAAGAGGGTTGTAATACAAAAGAATGTAAGTGAAAATCTGACACGTTTTTGTCTAACCTAGTGGCTCTCAACTCCAGCTGTAAAAGATAATCATTCTGTTTCACTGCAAAAAAGTTAAAAATCACCATTGTCTAGAGATGGACTTCCAGGCATCAGTATTTTTTAACTTGCACATTAGAATTACTGGGAGTCAAGGTCCAAAATCACTAGTGAAAAAAATTAATACACAAATTTAGATTTCTGAGCCACATACCTAGTTATTTCCCAAAAGACCCAAATTCAGAACAATAAGGGAAAAGTTTTTAGAAGGCCCAGCTACTTACTCTTCCTTGATTTTCCGACTGATGATATTTGGGGTGAAGGTTTTCTGAAAGTAAAATATGGGAGTCACTGATTTGGTAAGTTCTGATCCCAAAGTATAGAGAAAAATGAAAACTCTCAAAGGGCATCTTGTATGGACCAAGACCACCGTTCTACAGTCCCCACTGTTGTCAATGATTTACACAGACAGACATGTACTTAAAAGGGACAAACATCTTGTCGTGATAGCAGTGGACTTACACACAGAACAGGGCACCAAAACCTATTTAAGCTAGCAGCCTCAGCTTCTGCCCTCTGAAAGGAGAGCCCTCAGGGCTTTGAAAATTTATTTGTCTAATCTCACTTCCTATCATCAAACGGCTATAGAAACCATAGAGTATCATAGGAAAGAGCTCTAGCAGCAAGGCTCAAGTAGGAAGTTGGCCAGCACTCACAAACTGATGATACAGCTAGGCTGTCACCAGCATTTCCCAAGGCAAACAAGTCTTGAAAACTGGCTGCTTTATGCTTCTATTACAGCCCCTCCTCCCCCCACTAAATTTCAGGGCTATCCTTACATCTACAGTCATAAACACAACAGAAAAGGGCACAGAGCCTCCAGTGTCCTGCCTAGGATTCATTAGACTCTAGATCACAGCCTGCCACTTTAATCCATGGCGAATACAGAGCTCTCTAAAACTACAGGCAAAGTTTATGCCTGCTGGCTTTCATGGGTTTCTTAAAGGTGTCCAAAATACATAAAAATGTAAATAAGCACTGCTCGAGTTGCTTGGGGAGTAATTAGGATTCTCTGCCCTTCAGCCATCTCTGAGAACCAGTCAACATCTTGTACCCAGTATCTAGACCTGAAGGTAGGTAGACTCCCCAGAATTTGTCAGCAAAGTCTGGGGGCGAGTTTCGTTAGGCCCAATACCAAGCCCGGCACACGGTAGGCCCTACGTGAACATCAGCTGAACCCCAGGGTCCTGGAATTCAAGGTCGTAGGGTTTCTTTAGAAAGGTGCCGTCTGGTACCTTCTTGACTCCTCCGAGGGTGAGATCCCTGGAGCGGATGGAAGGAAGGCGACCTGGAGTGAGTGGAGGCGCCGGCCGCCGCCCGATAAGCCCCCGTCCCCCAGAGAGGAGGGGGCGGGGACCTCCCGGAGCACTCGGCTCGCCCGCGGCGTTTCCTTGCGACATTTTGCCTGGGAGAAAAGAAGGAAAGGGGCAACAAAGTCACTCGAGGGGGCGGACACACGGACCCTGGGCGGAACCCCACCCACGTGGCCTCCCGCCCCCCAGTCAGTGCGTCCCTCCCTTTCCACGTGGCAAGACTCCCCGGACCACCGAGTTAGAGCACTTGGCTCGCTCTCTGCCCAGGCCCCCGGCCAGGCACAAGGCAGAGACGCACCCCAGCGTACCTGGGCTGTGGCTCCACACCACGCGCCTCCCGACTTCACCTCCGATGCGGCCCGCAGATTGCCCTGGGTCTCCGCGCCCGGCGGAAGTCTGCGTGGCAGGGCCCGGGGGCCGCCATCTTGCCGCGGGGCGGAAGTGAGGTCGGTGGGCGGGGCCGGGCCACAGTATTTATCCGGCGGCGCCTCGCTCCCCTCCGCCTTCTCTTCCCGGTTCTTCCCGGAGTCGGGAAAAGCTGGGTTGAGAGGGCGAAAATGGAAGAGGGGTCTGGTCTAGGTTACGCTGCGGTGCAGCGTTCGGGGGTCTTGGCCCGGGCCGAGGGGGTAGAGGCGCCCAGCTCCGGGTCCGGGGGCCGTGGCGGCCGCCACGACCCAGATGGGGATTCGCCGTGATGGAGCCTCGGAGCGGTGGGGTCGTGGCTCGGGACGGGGCGAGGGGCGCGGGGCGGAGAGCGAGACCCGGACTCAGAGTTGGGAAGTCCCGGGCCGGGCCGAGCCGCGGCTGTGGGCTCGATGATGACCTTGGAGTGGTCACTGTACTCCGGGCTGCGGCCTCGTCCTCGTTTGGGGGTCCCTTCCCTGGAGTGCTGGTGGGATCCTGGGGGGGGGGGCTGTGGGCGCCGCGCTAGGGCAGCAACAGCGGACTAATTGGGTGCCTAAGGGCACCCGTCCTGGGCTCCTGGCTGCGGACCCTCGTGTGCGCTCTCTGGGCTCTTGACTGCGGACCCCTGTGTGCGCTCTCGTTCCAAGCCCGGAACCGAAAAACGAAGTTTGCTCGATTGGGAGGGACGAATTTAAAGAACTTTCATGGTGATTCCTTCATTTGTAATTTAACATAAAAAATGCCTTTACTGTTCTCCCCACCCCCAAACCATGTAAAGACCACTTAACATTGCGGAAAGTTTGAGGGGAGGAAAACATTTGTACTACTCACTACTATTAAAACTTCTGCAATGCAGTCCCCTTGGAGAGCTGTCATTGTACCACAGTTTTGAATCCTACCTTCTGAAATAACATTTCTTTGTTGCTGCATCAAATGTGTAATTCTTGGGTCTATGTCATGATTTGCCTGTTTTCCTATTTGGACACTTAGATTGTCTCCCCCACCCCCTGCGCGCACGCTGTTGTAAATAACGCTGTAGTGAACATCTGGTGCATTTAACATTTTTTTCTTTTGGATTATATCCCTAGGACAACATTTCAGACTTGTGATAGCTGGCCAAAAGAAGATGTACTTTATTTTTTAAGTAAAATTTTTGAGATAATAGATACACATGCAGGTTTTTTTTATATTTATTTATTTATTTTAGAGAGAGAAAGAGAGGGAGACAGAGAATGAGCAGGGAGGGAGAGGGAGAGGGAATCACAAGCAGACTCCACGCTGAGCGCATTGACCCCCACGCTGGGCTTTATCTCTTGATCCTGAGATCCTGACCTGAGCAGAAACCAAGAGTCAGATGCTTAACAGACTGAGCCAGCCAGGTGCCCCAGATACACATGTAGTTTTAAGAAGTAATACAGAGATCTCAAGTTTTCCCCAAGAGAAACATGTCCTAAAACTATAGTACAATATAACAACCAGAATATTGACATTGATACGGTAGAAATATAAAACGTCAACGCAAGGATCCTAGGCACACCTCCCTCCCTTTGGTCCACCCCTGGCAAAAACTTATCTATTCTTCACTTTCATACTGCTGTTATTTCAAAAGTGGAACTCATTCAAAAATGGAATCATACAGTATGTGACTTCTTGGGATGGCTTTTTTCACTCAGCATAATTCTCTGGAGATTATCCAAATTGTTGCATGTATCACTAGTTCGTTCCTTTTTATTACTAAGCATCCATGGTTTGTTTAACTATTTGTTCTTTGAAGGAAGTCGGGGTTGTTTCTAGTTTTTGGCTATTATGAATAAAGCTGCTATGAACACACATGTACCAGTTTTGTTTTTTGCAAAGATAACTTATTCATTGTAGAAAATTTGGAAAATTTTAATAAACATCCAGAAGAAAATGAAAGTCATCCATTACATACTTGAAGTTGTTTTTCTATGCATGTGGCTTTTTAAAAATTGAGGTGTTTTACATATGGTTCTATAATCTGCTTTTGTCTTAATAATATCCTATAAACATTTTTGGAGTTATCGAATATACTTCTAAATTATAATTTTTAATGCCTAAATAGTACTCCACATTGTTGTCTTGCACCATAATTCCTTTAACCAGTTTCCTGTTAACCAGAAACCAGTTTCCTTCCGGCAATGCTGATTGGATTTCTGCAAAATTTTTCACCCCAACAAGAAAAGAGGAGAGAAGACTTAAATCAAGACTTCTATCTTTAACATTTTGGGGTTTGCTTCCTAACAACAATTATTATAGTTTCCCATTAAGAATATTCTCCAGTGTTCCCTCTAATTAGGCTAATATACTTTTGGCACCATTCTCCTTTCTTTTCTCTCTCTCTCTTTTTTTTTTTTAAAGATTTTTTTTTATTTATTTATTTGAGACAGAGAGAATGAGAGAGAGAGAGCACATGAGAGGGGGGGAGGGTCAGAGGGAGAAGCAGACTCCCTGCCGAGCAGGGAGCCCGATGCGGGACTCATCCAGGGACTCCTGGATCATGACCTGAGCCGAAGGCAGTCGCTTAACCAACTGAGCCACCCAGGCGCTCTCTCTTTTTTTTAAGAGAGAGAGAGTGTGCACCCACACGGGGGTGGGGAGGTGGGGTGGGGGAGGGAGAGAGAGAATCTCCAGCAAACTCCCTGCTAAGGGCAGAGCTGCAGGCTCAATCTTACGACCCTGAGATCATGACCTGAGCTGCAATCAAGAGAGCCTTATCCGACTGAGCCACCCAGATGCCCCACACCATTCTCCTTTCTTTCTTTATTTGCTCTAACACCTCCCTCTCTGTTTTCTTCCAAAGGGTCTATATTCTTTTATCGAGCCTCAAAAGAAACTAGTAAATCCTTACCAGCTGAACCCCATGTCATCGCATCTGTGATTCTAGCAGATCTTAATTGTTATTAATAACATTTTATTTCTACATATTTCATAGTAAAGGTGATAATCTTATTGTTGTCTGATAACTTAATGAAATTAATAATTAAACTCTTAAGAGCAAATATAGTTTTTTTTGTTCTAAATGCAGAATTCAGAAGGTGTAAACAGATTCTGTCAAAAGACTGTTTCTGTGAAATCTTGTTGGGCATTGGGAATACTAAATGAATAAGAAACTGCTTTGAATATGTATCAGTAGAAGAAAAGGAATGTGTGGTATGAAAATGCTATCCAAGCTCAAGCCATTACATGTTCTCTATGAGTAATTTCTCCTGATTTGTTTGCATCATTTTGCAGGCCATTGTTTGCTGGTTCCTTCTCATCTCCTTGATCTCGGAACATTGGAGAACCCTAGTATTCAGTCCTCAGATCTCTTCCCTTTTTTCTTTATACTTACTCCTTTGGCTCTGGTTCAGTTTCTCAGCTTCAAACCCTGTGCTGAATGCTGATGACTCCTCGGTGCTTATCTCAGTATGGACCTCTCTGAACACCAGATGTGTGTTTCTGCCTATCCCACCCTCCCACTTGGATGTCCACAAGGCATCTCAAACCTACATCCACACCCAAACTTTTGATCTCCCTCCTCAAACTACTTCGAAATGTTCCCCGTCTCAGTACGTGGCAACCCCATCCTTCTAGCCGTTCAAGTCAAAATTTTGCAGTTATTCTTCACTCCTGTCTTTTTCTCATGTGACACATCCAGTACATCAGCTTTTCCAGAATCTTGCCACCTCTCACCACATTCACTGACATGCCACCCTGGGCCTGACCACCATCTCTTCTTCTTTTCCTCTTCCTCCTCCTCCTCCTTCTTCTTTTGCTATGATTATTTTAATAGCCTCCTAACTGGCCTCCCTGCTTCCATCTGGGTCCCGTCAGTTTAGTTGTAACATAGCATAATTAACATATTTCACATCAGGTGACGTCTCTGCTCTTGACTTCCCAGAGGCTTCCCATTTCAGAGTAAAAACCAGAGAATTTAGACTGGCCTACACAAGCCCTACATAATCTGTCCCTCCACCCACCATCTCTCTGTCCTTAACTCCTACCACACACCCCTCACTCACTCTGCTCAACGGCACCGGTCCCTTGCTCTATCCAGAACTATCTGGCATGCTCCCTCTTCAGGGCCTCTGCACCTGCTACCTGGAATGCCCTTCCCCCATGTAATTCTGCGTGGCTCTCCTCCTCTCTTCAATAATTTTTTTTCTTTATCCCAAAGTCACTTTTTCAAGGAGGCCTTCTTTGATGGCATTATTAAAAATTGTAACCTCCCCCATGACATTCCCTATCCCTATTTACTGACTTTTTCTCTATGACACTATCACCTAATAGACTCTAGAGTTTGTTTGTCTCTCCGTCTTCCCCCCCCCCACCACCACCAGAAAGAAAGTCCCATAGGAGCAGGGACTTATCTTCCTCCTTCACTACAGTATCCTCACTGCCTGAAACAATACCTAACACAGAGTAAGCACCCAATAAATTTTTGTTGAATGAACGAATGAATTCCAGTTTGTGTTGAGACCAAGTAGCAAATCCAGATGTGCATTAGAGAAATAAAAGGGTGTATTGTTTCCAGGTGGATTGTACAAGTGATTTAACTTTAGCACCACTGATGTAAAAGCCATCCTTGCATTGCACACGTCCATATGTCTTCTCTATAGGTTCTCTGTATGCAAGTTGCTTAATGCAGTAAGTAGTAAATAAGTAAGCAAATACTGAGCAAGTGGAGGGAAGGCTTTGTGGCATGGCGGCAGTTTGTGTATCTGTTACATTTTCTTGTTCCTGATATCTTGCCAAGAAGTGCCCAGTGGTATTCCACAGCTTCTACGTTGTGCTCTTCCCTTTTGGGTATAGCTCGGTGACTATTCCAGTACCGTGGATTCATCCTATCAGTCCTTCCACTTCTTACTGAGCTTGTGATTCCTTCGTCATTGTTCTTGGTCTTTGTCCCTTGAAGTTTCTTTTCGCCCCTCCCAACATTTCATTAATGTCTCTTCTATAGCTTTTCAGTGTGCTTAAATATAATTCAGCATTTTTCCCATCTTAAATTTGTTAAATATTTAA